TTTTCCAGAAACCTCTGAATCATGATTCCAGAAAGGAACACAAAAAACATTTTAAACAACATGTATTTGTGGAAATAGATTTAGTAATGAGGTAAGAAAAGTGTGCAAATATGTTCTACTAAAGAGCATGCTGTAGTGGGCATAAAGATATATTTTATTAAAAACAAATATATAAGAAACCATAGTAAATTTCTCAAAATGAACTAATGTATGTGACATTTCCTACTGTTTCTCAAACTATACAGAATCACTCTCTTCATGTAACTTTGAAATGCAAGGTACAATCATCAACTATAGGAAAACAGAATCCAGTCCTATAAATGTAGCAAGCAAAAAGTAAATATACAGGTGTATCCATGTATCCAGACTCACATTCCCCCACCCTATGAGGCTGTTTTTATATCTCTCCCTTGTTAGCTTTGCAGAACCAAAATGCAGAAGAGCGTGCTACAGAATTGTACCATACAAGAGGGAATCCAATTCAATAAACATCGACCCCTCACACCACTCCAAGCCAGCTGAAAACTGTGGATTGCCTTAGGTGGTAAGAAGATGTTGCCATTTCTGATAGAGAATTGCATTATAAATGACAGTGAGGAAGAAAAGGATTTGATACAGAAATGACATGCTGCATTTGTAGGAGTGGTAATTGAAAAAAAAAAAATCTTTGAAAGTGTAAAATAACAGAATTATTGAGGTATAATCATCATGGAATGGGACCTACAAAACAAAGGCAAGTAGAGACCTGAAATTACAAGTTATGCCTTTAACATTAATTCCTCAGCCTTTACAAAAATTCCTTGAGAGTGGTTTTTAAATAGACTGTAAGCAATTGAAATCTATTTCTATTCAGAGAACTAAAACCATCTTTGGTACCACCACAGTGTTTCTTTGTTGCACACTCTACATATTTCCCCCACATTTGTTCTCTCTACTTTTTAGGAACCATTTACTCCAGTGGCAAATGCCACTGTGATGTGGAAGTGTTCCAGTAACCTATTAAACTTCTCTCAGTGCTTCCATTCTCCTCCCTTCATAGGGAAATCTGTGCATGCAGTGAAGTTTAAGTAGGTGGGTAAATTTTGTACCTCAGTCCTGACTTAGATGGAAATGTCTTCAGCACAGGTACTGTCTGCTACTCTCTGTTTACATATTAGTCTGCAAAACTGCTCCCTATCCTATTTACTTGGTCCAGCACTGGATCCCAATAAACAGAACAGAAATATGGGCTTCACTTCCACTCCTTATTGTACAGCTTAACTCATGATTTTTAAAAAAAGTGGTACAATTAGATTCTAGTCATTCAATTACTCCTTAAACGAATTTCTGAAAATCTTTAAAATTATCACAGTTACTAGAACCACTTTGCAGGTTTCCTTACAATATAGGGACTATTTTATTTAACTTGCAGCACATAAAAGAGAGAAGCACGTGCTCTAAGTAACAGCAGTACTGAAACCAGATATTTAAGCATTCATAGTTAAAGAATGGTCACCACAAATTTTTAGATCCTGTTACCTTTAGTAGAAACAGACAATTAGAAAGGCTGCAGTTCTCAGACCAGATTACTGATTTCAAGCAACCCCTCCCCCAATCATGTGACCATGCTCTGCACTCTGTCAATTAAAACTTATTTAATCTTAGTCACTGTCACATTTGTAAAGATTAAACAATAACCTGTAAGGGCCTGTGACATATTACTGACTAATAATTTTGTTTCAGAAGATGCTAAATATTCCCAGCGTTTTGCTAAGCAACATCCCAATGTGAGAACAATGAAGAAATTATATGATTCCTTTTCCTTTGAAATCACTTTGTGTTCCACAACCATGCCTTCCCTAATCCCTTTTCCACTACTGAGAGCAAGCAAACAGATTCAGCCAAGAATCAGATGCTCTTTCTGCAAGTTCTTGAACAGGCACCAGCTCCCAAACTGCAATGCAGGTGTTTCTGGTGATCTGAAAAGCCATGATCCATGGTCTGTAATGAGTGTATATGATCATATAAAACAGTAAAACTGAAAGTATTTTCAACTGATACTAAGAATCAACCATATTGTGAAACTGACAGAGGTCAGTTAATCCAAGTTCAGATTTAAGGCAATACCACTGCCCACAAAGATATACAGATAAATTATACACTCTTAATTGTCCAACATCTTATTGACTTGCTCACTTAACAAGGCTCTTCCACTCCACCACAGAAAGCTTCATTAACTAAACTTTTGAGATACTATTAGATACCTACTAATTAACAAAGACAGAATTACAAAGCTAGTAGTCAGCAATGTTAAGTGCAAAAGACATCCCAATGGGATGTGAAAACATATCTGTGTTTGCAGACAGTTGAGCTCGGGCTGACAAGTCACAGCAGCCTCCCCTCCTGTGCTCCTGCACTGCCTCCCCAGCTCCCAGGGGAGCACCAGGCTTGGGAGCCTAGAGCTGGCTTCATGCAGGCAGTTGAATACTCCATTCCAGAGCCATATTTTCTGGGAGTAGCAGTAAAGAGACATCCTCTAAGTATCAGTAGTAACCACTTAATTTGTTGATTTAATAAATGTATACAATATCCTGGGAAGTAAAAATGTGTCTTCAGTGAAACAACTAGCTCTCACAGTCACTTGTTCAAAGCAGTGCATACACAAAGCCAGCAGTCAGCCAGTTTCAACTCACCTATTAACTGCTTTAAAGTAACACATTCCCTCAATCATACACAGCCAGACTTCCTAGTTCCCAAAACTCCACTGCTTGCTGCAAAAGAGCAGTGTGCTCTGCAAATCAATGCTTCACACTACCAGTGCCACTGGAAATGCACAGGTTCTTTGTATTCCCTGAACATTTCTAGTTACATGCTTTAATAAGCTTCAGTTCATAACAAGCTGATGAACTACTTCTTGCCCAGCCTCCCAGAAAAAAGTTGCTGAGCCTTGACTTCTCTATTACACAACTTACAGACAGCTTTTTATCCAAGAATCACATTTAACCTGAAAAACCAGGCACGTCATGGACCTGAGTATTTCCAAATCAAAGAAGTCCAAGCCTGAAAAAAAATTTCACCACTTTGAAACTATGAAAATGTATTTGTTGTTCTTGACAAATCACAGAGAAAAAGATTCAGTAGTCATTTCCACACATGCTTTCAGACAGCAGCATAGACAGGCAGGAACTGCTGATATTTTGCCAGAAGTGCCAGATAGATCAATACTATTAAAAACTACAGCCAGTCTCTGCAACCTCTCACCTCCTGCCTTGCAAACTTTACTAGGCTCATTGTTTATCATCATTATTATTAAAGATAATTTTGTACTAAGCTAGCAGACAGCATCTAATACCAGAAATATGCAGATACAAAGAAAGATTTAACATTCTGATTGAATTCCATTAAAAATCAAACACCACTCCACTAAATTCGACTCACAGAAAAAACATTTTTTTTTTCAGAACTGCAATAAAAATCTCTAAATCTCACAAAATTGCTTTCGACACAAATGCTTATACCAACTTGGATCTTGTATTAATCAATTATTAACCACTTCTACTTTGCAATTAAAATTATTCATTACTATAAATATTCAGGAAGAGGTTGTCTTTGTTACAGAATTGTTGATCTTAAGACTATCAGGTTAATAAAGCATAATTAAATCCAGGCATTTAAGTGCAAGCTTGCAGGGCAGAAAATTACCTCAGGAACAAGATTATTTTGAATTCAGCTCCTTGCTTTAGTGGTTTTGGGAACTGGCAAAACAGGAAAATCCTGAAAAGGGTGTTTAAACACCTAACCTGGGTTTTGTTCACTTAAGACACGTTAATAATCCATTGCTGGTGGCAGTTCTTTTGAAAGAAGGGACACCAACAACTGACAAGATTCCTTTTGCTGAAGAGGCTCTTTTTAAAATATATGCTTACTGCAAAACAAATCAACTAAACACACACTGTAAGAACTGATGTAACAGGTAGATGGAGCAAACTAATCTGCAGCACAAGTAAGGTTCCCCCCTCCTACAAGTTACTTCAGAGAAGCTGCTAGGGGAGTCAAGATACACAGACGCTTCTCATTTCATTGTGCGTGTATGACTGGGATGTGGAATGTGCTCTCACTGTGTTCAGACCTGTCCCAGATTTCCCTCTGATTTGAAACAGGAGGGAAAAGAGCCTCCCTCTCCCGAGTGCTGGCAGACATCCCCGTGGGAGGGAGGCTGGGCTCTCACCATCAGGTCCAACGGCACGTTCAGAGTATCTTTAAACACAGAAAAACACCCGGCTCTCGGCGAGACAAAAGCGGCTCACGCCAGGCACCCGCAGCCCGGCTGTCCCGGCGGAGGCAGGGAAGGGGGAGCTCGGGATCCCGGCACCGAAGAGCGGGCACGGCCCCGAGGGCGCGGATCCGCAGGGAAGGCTGCCTTAAACCGTATGGCCGGGGGAAGTGCGTTTAAATTTCTGTGTGCGGGAAATGGAAAGCGGATTAAATCCCACCTGTGCCCGGAGGCAGGCAGACACACACTCAGGGAAAGGACAAACAGGGAAAGCCGAAGCCCCACACGGCAGCTGGCGAGACCAAGGCAGTTCAGGTGCCGATGTGAAGGAAGGGGCTGACGGAGGAGACTGCAGAGTTCAAGTTCCAACCCCCCTCCCCCCCCATTTACGAGGAAAGCGGGCGGAACCGCCCAGATCGGGGCTCCTCGGGCGTCAGGAGGCGCGAGAAGCGACGGCGCGGACTCCCCCAGCCGAGGGCGGCGGACGACCCTGCCCGCCGTGCGCTGAGGGGCGGGCGGAGCGTGAGCCCCGCGGGCCGAGGTAGCGGCGCCCCGGCCCTTCCCTCCTCCTTTTCTTTCCCCTCTCCACTCGGGCGAGCCCCATTTCCATTTCCTCGAAGCGGCAGCCGAGGGCGCTGCTTGGGGCCGGGCGGGAGAGGGAGCGGCAGGAGCCAGCGCCGGTAGCGCCTTGTTCTCTGCAGCCAGGCCAGAGAGGGCTGCGCGCCCCGCGCCCCCCGCCCGGGCTCACCTCCTCGATGGCCGCCACCGTGTTCCTGCACTGGGCCATCCGGGTGGTGAAGTTGGAGGCGGTGGGTGACTTGTAATCCTCATTGGTCTCGGACACGAATTCCGACACGGAGATCTGGTCCGGCATGGCGGGGCGGGGATGAGCGAGGGGAGGGAGGGGGAAAGCAGGCGGCTCCAGGGGCAGGGAGGGGAGGGCGTTGGGGGGGCTCCCCCTCACATCGCTCGGCAACCGGCGGCAGCGCCCTCCTCTTAGCCCCGCTGTCTGGAGCGGTGTTGTTCCTCAGCCGCCACACAAGGAAATTCCCCGCACCCACACTCCTCCTCCTGCTCCTCCCGCGCGGTCACGCAGCACCGGGGGCCGGGCACACGCCCAGCCGCGGGAGCTGCCTCCACCCCGCCCTCCCGTTCGCTTTCTCCCTCTCGCTTTTCCTCCTCCTCCCTCGCTCCCTCACACGCTCGCGGAGCGGGGGCGCGGCCGCGCGACCCCCCGGCAGCCCCCGGAGCGGACCTGCCGCCTCGCACTCGCCACCGGCGCCCGCCCTGAGAAGATGGCGGCCCCCTCCCTCTTTCCCTCCCTCAGTCCGTCCTCCCCGAGCCCCGAGGGGAGAGGAGGTGGCAGGCGCCGGCTGGGTAATCCCAGCGCAGGCAGGACGAATCCAGCCCTGTGGTTCTGGTGGTGTTTAACAACAAAAACCCAAGGGCAGGGGAAGGTGAGGCGCCGTGCCTGCCTGGCAGGAGGAGGAACAGGTTGAAGCCCACAGGACAGGTCTCCGCACTGTCCCCTCCGGGACTGCTCGCAGGTGCAGAGACAGTCTCTTCCCTCACAGCTCGTAATTTATCTTTCAACAGTTTAATCTGTTTTACGAGTTCGTTGTCTAGTTTCGAGAGAGCAAAAGAGATATGTTGTCGTTCCCAAGAGGTCCGTGCAAAAAATATGTTTAAGCTAAGTAACGTTTAAATCTAAATTCTTAAAAAGCTTTTTCTGTACTCAAGAAATAAGAGCTATCAGAGGAGGTGCTTTGTTCTTCAATATAAAGCCACAAGGATCACTCAAGGCAAAAAGGGGGGTGAAACTCAGCCGGAGCTGTGGCGTTTGTGACTGATGCAGCAGGAGGGACACTGGCAAGGTGTCACTGAATGAGCATGGTGTTGCTTGCATTGGGAATACAGGGATGTGATCCATGGCCGGGGTTTCTTTTGGCCTCAAAGCCCTTAGGACTTCTAGCTGATTCCTGCAGAAGGCTTCAGAAGTCTGTATTTTGGCCCAGCAACTCTCCTGTGGCTCTTTCACTCCCCTCTGGTGATAGTTATTAGCTTTCTATAAGTGATTCTTTATTACTCTGTTTTAAAACTCTTCAGGGAATTCAGATGAGTAAGCAGGTACTCTTTTGCTGCCGTTTGTAAAATGTCCAAATAAATAACTGTAAGCCTGCCCAGATGTTACTGCCCTTTGCAATCCTTGCTAGATCCTTTAACATAAATAATAAAGCTTGTCAGCCATGTTTATTTTCCTGGTTGTAGTAAATCAGATGAATGAATGCAGGGTCTATCTGCATGTTCTTTCAGTTTTTAAACTCTTGATAGCTTTTCCATCCTAATCATTCCTTATTTTCTGCAATGAAAGTCACCACTGTTGTTTTGCTTTTAACTTCATTGCTGCTCTCCTTGTTAATACTTGTGTGTGATCAGTTACTACAGCATATAAAGGTATATATTGTTCTGCTGCTAATGCATTACATTTCTTGTCTGTATTTGTGTGTCATATAATAAATATCGTTGAGTAGAAATATTAATTCTTGCTAAAAATGTGTGATCTTACATTTTCATTTTTTCATTAGCTGATGGTGGCACCTTTAAAGCAGCACTTATCACACTATTACCCAAACTTAGTAAACACTAGCATTCTTAAACTGCCTACCATATCTTCCACTGTAGCATATTTATTTGATATTTTGAAGGGGATCTGAAAGGCAAATACTCCTAGACTTTGACTTTCTGCAGCAGCTCTTCTATCAGATACAGTGGAAATCTGCAACATAATAATGCAGCCTCTAGTGGTTGCATCCACAGTTTGATATTGGAGTATATGCAACTGCGATGGTGTCATGGTTTAACTCCAGTCCAGTACAAAGCAACAAAATACCACACAGACACTCATCACTGCTGCTCTGCCCAGTGGAAAGGAGAATTAAAAAATAAAGGAAAAAAACTTGTGGGTTGAGCTAAGAACAGTTTAATAATGGGAACAAAATATAATAATAATAATAATGATTATAATAACAATTTTCTTGAGAAGAAGAGAGAGAAAGGATGAAAACTGAAGATGAACAAGTGATACACAGGACAATGCTCACCAGCTGCTGGCCTGTACCTGTGCCATCACCGAGCAGTGGTTGATGCCCCAGCCAACCCCAGTTTATGTGCTGAGCATAACAGTCAATGGTCCAAAATATCCCCTTGGCCTGGTCAGATCAGCTGTCCCAGTTATGCTCTTTCCTGGCTTCTCGTGCACCTGCTTGCAGGCAGGGCATGGGAAAATGGAAAGTCCTTGATTTAGAGTAAACACTACTTAGCAACAACTGGATTGGTGTGCTATCAACATTATTCTCATACTAAATTCCAAATTCAGGATTGTGCCATTTGTGAAGAAGGAGATTAACTGTCCCAGCTGAAAACAGGACAGACAGTACCATCATGCAATGAGTCTTTGACTTCTACAGATTCTATTTTGTACAGGAGGTGAGGTTACATGATTGCAGTGGTATCTGATCTTCTTCTATCTTAAATATGTTCAAACATTTGCCATCCCAATGGAACTGCAAGGCCTTTTTGCTTGACAGACTGCATTTGCTTCAGCTCTTCTCTTTATGAAGCTAAAGACTTGTGCTTGGGTAAACTTTCTAGAAGTTGTTCAAACTTAATATCAAGGCTCAATAGTTCAGAGAATTCCCTGCTTCTGTTGTGTTTTAGGACATCGGCTAATTGCATCTACATCTATTATTCCAGTTTTTCAGTCGTTAAGGAATTATTTGGTACTCAGGCTTTTCTAATTGTAAGCATTCTTGTACACAGACATGAAGTAATTTCCCAGTTTATTTCTTGATAAACCAAACTGAACAACTCCCCTCTTTTAAAGAGAGCAGAGTTAATTTGAATTGCTTTGCATTGGCCACAAACCCAGACTGAGCATCCAGGTGGTGACTGTGAGTCAGCTGACACATAGCACCTCATTACTCTGCAGTAACACTTTTATTAGTGTGTGCAAGTCCTGTGTCTCTCACTGAAAGGCTGTTTTCTCAGCCCTTCCATCATTTTTACAGTTCTAACACCTCAATAAATTATTCTCCTGGTTCTCTACTCCTTCATTGTTATATTCAAGAGTATTAGACTTTCCGGTCCCAATGTCATGCTCAGGCTCATCTAACCCTACGTTCTGGCCTTTAGGTATTTAAGAATGATACTTAATGTCAACACTCCATTCTTTGAACCTGTGAATAAGTATTGAAGTGGAATACCTTGATAATGAGACAGCTGTGAACAAAGCTTGCTTGTGCAGAATGGGGTGCTACTATTTTGTCTCTAGGTTTTCCTGCTTGCTTCCTCACCGTGGCTCCTCCTGTTCTGATTTTGGACCCTCCCTCCCTCGGTAAAATGCCACTACCTTCTTTGACCCAGTCACTCAGTTAGATATCTTCTACTAAAGAGAAATAAATAAAAATATTTTCCAAAGATTCATGCTCTGCACATTTCTGAAAAACTTCTAATCTACTGGATACACACTGACTACAGCTCCATTAGTCAGAATACTTGATTTATACAAACATTTCTCCCAACACTTACTTCAAAACAGCATTAATGGTTACATCAGTCAGTGTTGTTAAAAACATGTCATCTTCAAAATAGTAAGACAGATTTAAAAATAACTGATTTTCTTATGTTTTTGTATATTTGTATGGTTGGTTTTGAGCCTTTAGAAATCTTATCTGTATGTCAAAATCTTTATTTGCATCACTGCTAGTGAGAACTCAAACTGAGGACCAGGTGCTATAGAAACAGAACAATAAGGCAGTCTCTGGAGATCTTGATATTTAAAATTAGCTAATGAAAGGCAATTGAGTTAATATAAGGAAATACTGGACCATTAGTAGTCTGTATTACAGTCCATGATCTTCACACACTGCTGCCCAAATGTTTCTTTAGACATTTTAAGTAGGATTTTCACAAAGGATTATGTGATAGATTGGTGTGTTTAAGGGGGAATTATTGCAAGAATAAGGGTCAACATGAAAGAAAGCACAAAAGACTTTGTGTCCTTGAAACTTAACATGTCAGAGTCGGAGGTAAATGTCATGGATCAGAGGAAAAACTAATGTCTCTTTAATGAGAGGACATGCTAATGGACTTTTGAGAATAGCAGGGAAAGGACGTGTTGATCTGGTTAGAATATGATGATCCCTCAAGCACAGGGTGCCTAGGATGGGACCCAAAATATATAAGGTTTTTTTTGTAGCCCACAGCAGTTGTGTCATTATTGCCCTCCACTAACCAGCTCCATGACAGATTATTTCTGTTTGCTCCATTTTTATTTTATGTCAATGTTTTTTCACAGAATTTCTTTCTTTGGTAACTTTAGATAGTTTGAGGAAATACTTTTTATTGGCCTTCTTTGTGTGTACTCAGTACTAACAATGAATCTGAGGTACATTTGTTAATTCTATTAAGGGTGGTTTGAGGGAACACAACAAGAAGATGGTTCATAGAAAATCTCATTAGCGTCATCACTTATCTTTGAACTTTAAAAATAAGCATGCAAATAAATGTAATCTGGCAGCTGCTAATTACTGGGTGACAATTTTCAGGCATGTGGATGTTAAGCTCGGGAAATTTCTATAGTATATATAATTCATAGCAGATTAGTAAAACACTTTGTGGTGAGCCTTATTAGTGGATTCTGTCATTTCATCCCAATTCTTACATTCTTTCCATGAAGTATCAATCCCTGGTGTTGATTGCTCAGAGAACACTTTCAAAACAGCCTCCACTTTTGAAAATTTGTTACCACAGTTTAGGAGAAAGATTTCTTGTGATTTCTAAATATATTAATCCCCAGAAGAGCAGATACCTGGTTATTTTAAAGTCTTTCATACGGAGGTTTAACTCATGTTTTAATGATACCAATTACAACATGTAGCAACTTTAGAATAGCAAGTGTGTCTGCTCTTTTACAATTAACTTGAAAATAATTCTTATTTGAAAATTTATTTGGTCTCATAGGACTATTTCCAGAGATTTATTTCTACAAATTAGTGTAAATTCTGAAAATTAAAAAAATTAGTTCGGAAAAGTAAGTTTTTTCAGATCCTTTTGCTTTTGGAAGTGCCTACTTGAAAATCTGGTTTAAGCACATGTGATCATATGCTTTTCCCACCCTTACTACATTTTACATCATGTACCTTTGCATTGCTCTCAGACTTTTGTGAAGAATTTAAAAATATTTATTTTGCCTAGTGCTAATAGTAAC